GCGTGATTATTTGCAGTGGATGGGTTAGATAAAAGAACTCAGTGGACCAGGGAAGGGGAACAAAACAGTGCAAGGAGCTGACCAAACAGGTTTGAGAGGGGAAAATTCACCGTTGATGATGCACCGGCCAGAAATGCATTACCCCAGACCTTGGCGAGCGATCGCAGGTGACTGTTTGCTTCCCACACACCGGTCAGGAAGGGTGACAAAGGGAAATCCGTTGGGTTTATTAAGGAGTCGCAGTCCCATGTTTGTTTCCTCCCTCAAATACCTGCCCTTTGAGTGCTCAGGGGGAAAAAACCAAGCAACCAAACCACTCCACAACGTGCTTTGCTGCCTGGTTTGCAGCTCTGTGTATCGGCAAGAGGAGAACAGGCTTGAGCAAGGGCTGCGCACGGGGACGAGGAGCAACAAACCTGAAATCCCTTCCTTTCTCTCTCTCCTGCCTTGTGAAGCCAAGCTTCCCCCTGCAGAACAATCAGCCTTTGTCCCACCCGGACAAAGCCATTGTGCTCCATCGAGCTCAAAGTTCGACCGTTTCATCCCAAACCTCGTCTGCTTCCAGCAGCACTCGTGTGCGCACGGACACACAGCAGGAAGTCTGGGCTGGGGGATTAAGTCACATAAAACAACAAACACCGAGGCTGAGATCCCCTGAAGTTCCTGGTCTTTGGCTCACCGGTTGCACCGGTTTTGTCCAAGCTCCCTGGTGGACGCAGCAGGATCTGGTGAGCATCGCCCTGACACAGGGCTGCAGAGAGCATCCTGCCTGGGGACTGCCCCCGAGGGTCTTCCTGCAAGAGCAGAGGGGCAGATTCATCCTCTCTGGGACTCCAGCTTCACTCCCATGGCCCTGCAGGCACCTGCCAGGCACAAAGCCCATCAGACTTGCAAATCCACAGGGAAGCGTTATCCTCAGCTGATCCCAAGGCAAAGCAGCCTGGAAGGATCCCTTCTCCCCAGTATCCCTCAGCCAATGGCCACATCAGCTGCCATCCCACCATCTTGGCTTGTGTCAACAGGGATCAAGTGAGCCCATTCCTCCTTTAACCCAACATCTCCACATCATCACTGCCTCTGCACAGGCTCTGCCTCTGCATGCTTTGGAAGGGATTCTTGCACAGCATTTTGCATAGTTGTGCAGAACACATGGAGGCTTTGAACCCTTCTGCAAAGCCAGGAGGATCCCAGATGGAAAACATCCTCGTTATCCAAGAGGGGTGAAAGACCACGGCTTCCCACTCCCACAACAGCACATTACATGGACATGTGGTAGCGTTAAGCCCCATCGGGATTCCCACTGCATCACCGTGAGCTCAAAGCCCATCCTGATCCATGGGCACAGCCTTGGAAACAGGCACTGCCCCGCTGAGCTCCTGCTGGTGGTGTCCCCATACATAGCAGCAGAAAAGCTGGATTCATTCCTGGTATGCAGCTCCTGGGAATGAATCACTTCTACATCTCTAGTAATGAACACAGCGGAGCAGGAGGCCTTCCTGGCCCAGATGCAAACAACATCTGTATGAGCAAGACCCATCACCCTGGTTCCAGACGAGTGCTGGACCACACGGGAGCAGGAAAACCCATCCCTGGTGCAAGAGAGAGCCACCAGCACAGCCACGGTGATGACACGGATGTGGCCACAGGGGCTCAGACCCACAGGATGCAGCACACAGCACACAGGGCCCTGCAGGGACAGAGCAGAACTGACACAGCCCAGAGAGCTGGAGCACACCTAAAAATGCTTGTCCCATCTTCTCCTGTGACACCAGAAGCAAAATCCCTGGTGGGATGAGGTCAGAGGAACACAGGGCACCTACATCCATCCACTCATTGAAAGGGTCTGGATAAGGCGGCTCATGGTGTGAGCACCAGGAAAAGGGCACAGCACCATCCCAAGAGCATCGAATCCCATCCAGCACCTCCCAGATGATGTTTTCTTCCTGTGGGAGCCTCCCCCCTCCAGCCCTGAGGCAGGCAAAGGGAGCCACTACCAAGCACAAGGGTGAGAAACTGGGGTGGGAGCTCGCTCAAGGCCACTCAAGGGGTGATGTTTGCTGCTGCTTCCCACCTTGCAGCAGCTTAACCCATTCAAGGGAAGCAGGAACAGCCTGGCCTGGGGCTACCCCCAGCCACACACACCAGGAGCTTCCATGGGTGACCCAGGTTATCCCTTCCACCTCCAGCACCTCGTGCTCCTCACCACTGCAGGGAAGCCCGTTAGGAGCCAGCTCCCATCCTGCACACCTCTGCGCAGGGGAAGTGCCATCTCCTTCCCCACCACGCTGTCAATGCTCCTCCTAGGAACAGCTCCAGGGTCATGGAAACCTCGTCTGTTCTCACCATCACCAGAGCTCTGCCCAGGGACAGCTCTCACAGGGATTGGGATCACATCACTGGGGACCACATTTACACCCATGCAAGGTATGAAGCCTCAGGTGCCCCCAGGAGGCTCAGGAGGGATAGGTGGCTTAGAGGACCCAGCAGTGGGGTACATTACCTACCATGAGGTCAATCCCAGCTCCGAGGACACAGTCAGCTGCCTGACACATCCACACTGACACATCCCAGCCCCAGGACACTGGGAAGATGGGAGCATCAGATGAGTGCTGGTGCCCCCCCAGCCCCAGTGCCCATCAGGGTTGACCTGACAGCCACACACAGTGAGCATCTCCTCCTCCTTGAAACACACCCCTTGCTTTGGGTTCACTCATTGTTGTATTTACCTTCCCTCCAGCATCAGCCTCCTGAGGTTTAAAGGGGAAACTTCTGTCTGTGACCAACCTGACCCAAATGAGAAAGGAAAAGGGTTTTCTCTCCCTTCTCTTTTCCCTTTCTGTTTGTTTTGGATTTTCTCTTTACTTTGGGGCAGGAAAAGCACAGAAAAGGGAAGAACTGACCTTAAACTTCACACAGGGTCTACATCCACCTGCCTCAGACCCAGTAGGATCCTCAGCAGCAAATAGCTCCCACCTCCCCTCCTTGTTTCAGGGGGGACTTTGCAACCGGCGGGATAAAGAACCTGCTCCTTTCTCTGCCGGAGCTCAGGAGCTGGAGCAGCGGGAATGCCCTGTGGCAACAGCCAGCGCAGGGCCCTGACAGGTCACAGCCTTTCCATAGCTCTTGTCAGGCTGCTCTGATAAACACCTCCCGGAGCAAAGGGCTTCCCGGACCTGCGGCTTTTCCACCCTCCGGCTACGGCAGCATCTCCTTTACAGCCACCACAGCCTCTGGCACTTGTTAGAAGGGGCCAACACGGGGAAGATGTGGGTCCAGCCCCACATCTGGTTCACATCAGCTCTGGTTGTGCCACCCAGGACGCTTCACCCTGGGTGGCTTTGGGGAGGTCGCAGTGTGGTGGATGGGGGCTCCATATGGAGTTCCAGCCCTGCAGCTTCGCAGCACTCATCCCATGGGCCCCGTTGTCCATAAAGGGATATGGGATGGATTGACAGCGAAGGATCAGCCATCCCCAAGCTCAGCTATCTCCACCCCAAGCAGGCCTTGGTGGGGTGGCATTGCCCCAGGGACCAAACTGAGGTGAGAAACCCCCTTCCCTTCAAAGTGCAGCAAGGATGGTGTCATGGGATGAAGGGTTTCCAGCCAGGGGTGGGCTCTGCATCCCCATGTCCCCCATAAGGAGGATGGGAGGTGGCGCAGGGCTGCCTGTCCTCCCCCCATGGCCATGGCCGAGGTGTGGGGGAAGCATCAGCCCCATTGCCTAATCCCACCGCTAATCCCAGCCAGCATTAGGGATACAAAAGCAAACCTCGCCCTCCCCTTGACTAAACAGGGACAGCCCAAGAGATAACCCCCCCCTTGCTGAGGGCCACCACCAACCCTCTGGCTCCAGGTAACCCACTGGAGCCCGGTGTGGAGGGACAGGAGCCCTGAGGCTGCGGGGAGAGGCGCCAAGCCAGGACCACTGCAGGGGAAGGAGCAGTGGGGTACCTGCCTCTCTGCCCCCCATATTGACCCCACATCCACTGTGGATGCTGGATCACCAGGGTATCATATGGACACACAGCAATGGAGACAATGCCTTCATCTCACCCCAAAGAGCCCCACAACCAGCCCTGGGGGCATCAGCGCTGCCGGGACGGGAAGCAGGCAACGGATACTGCTCCGTGCCCAACCGTATCCACCCACCATGGGGATGCCCTCGGGGGGTTCCCAGAGGAATAACAGCCAGGATGAGGGGGTCCCTGTCGGGCCGGAGACGCCCTCCTGCCGGATCAAGATGGCGCTGGGGACGTGGGGCGCAGGTTAATCATTACCCACCGTGCCCCAGCTCGCCCAATTCCTGGGAGCAGGGTGCGGGCAGGCCCGGATCACCCCTTTCCCACCAGGAAGAGCAGCCGAGGGCTCTTCATGGTGGGATGAGGGGTCCATCACCTAAAACACCAGTGAGGAGCCTCGTTCCCTTGGCTGGGATGGGCAGCAGGGCTTGGACGTGCTCCTGCCATGGGCCAGAACAGGGACGGGTGTGCAAGAGAGGTGTAACAACACCCCAAAGCCGCTTATCCAGGTCTTTATCTCCGGTGCATAGAGGGGGGATGCCATTGGGAATTTCAAGGAGCATTCCTTCCCCTTCGTGGTGGTGGAAAAACAAGATCTAACACAATAAAATAGGAACCAAGTTCCTGTTTTCCCTGCTCTCACACACAGCGATCCCATAGCTCAGGTCCTTCCCAGCAAGATGGGAGTGGGGCAGAGCCCCTCAGTACCCCCTCACCTGGGGAAAAGGGACTGAATCCCATGTACAGGAGGGAGCAAAACCCAGGGTGTTTGGAAGGCAGCAGGAGGAAAAACCCCATGATAATGAAACCCAACACGCCCAAGAGGGAATCCGGCCCAGGGGGAAGCGCGAAGGTACAAAGCAATGGAAGTGTCGCAGCAAAGAGTGGGAAAACAAAGCAGAATTGGGTCCAAATCCACGCTCGCCTCTTGGAGAGGCACAAGGAGTGTAACTGAGCAGGAGGCGCCGGCCTCCGCCTTACCTGCGCCAGCTCGGGCGGGTTTTCCAGGGGCCGGGAAGGGGGTTTGATGTCCTCAAAGACGGGAGCGTCTTCCCCGGGTTCCCCGGACATGGTGACGGGTTTCAGGGCGGTGAAGACGGAGGCGTCCTCGGGGAGCGGGGTGCGCAGCACCAGCCCGCTGCTCATTCCTCCCGCCCCGCTGCCCCCGGGAAAACCGGTCCGGTCCGGGGGTTGTAGTAAAGAAAGGGGGGAAAGATGAAAGGAAGGGGAGGGGAAAGGGGACGAGGCAGCGGGAGCGAGGGGCCGATCCCGGAGGAGCCGGGTCGCGGGAAGGCTTTACCTGCCGCAGGAGGAGGAACGCCAACCTGGAAGCAGTGGGGAAGCCGGAGGAGCCAATCAGGATCCCGCCGACGGCACCTCCGCAGCCACCGGGGATAAAAGGAGCCGGGAGGAGCGAGGGGAGGCCGGAGCTTCGCCCTCAGCCCCCGTGTGCCACGGTGCGCCGGCACGAGCACCGGCCCGAGGGACACCAGAGCCACCGGTGCCACCGTGAACCCCGACCCCAGCGCGGCTGGGATGGAGCCGGAGCAACCCAGCTCAATGAAACCATCACCTGCATCGAGCCCCCCTGCGTGGAAGCCAGGGGTTGGGTTGGGTCTTAAAAACAGTGGATTTGGGGTGTTTTTTTAATGAGAAAATGACATTTTCTAATGAATGGTTGAATTTTGCATGAAAACCGGGGTTTCGGGACAAGGAGGTTCCTGTTTGCTCACACCTCTGATCCCCAGGGGAGAAAAGGGGAAGATCATTAAATAGATTAATTAAATTAAACGAAAATGAAAGAAATTAAAAGCAAAGGGGGAAAAGGGATGAATCTTGTTGAGGAACAACCAAAACCCAACAACAAAGAAGTTTAAAAGGTTCAGATATGAGTGTTTTCCAGCTTGGCCCCTATGGAGAAACTGAGGACTGTGTTTGGGTTTCTCTTTATGAAAGGGAGGAAAAAGGAGTGTATAAAGCCAGAGCAACAGGGGAATAAAACCACTTTTTTGGGGAGATCATCACAGTTTGAGGATCTTTACCATCACACTACAACAGATGAATAAATAAGAAGCTATTTCTCCTCTGGGTGCATCCAAACCCAGTGTCCTCCTTTCCTAGAAACTGCACTGTGTCAGGCCAAGTAAAAGCCCGGCCTTCTCCCCCCCTCCATGCTCATCCCCCCAAAGCAGCCCTCAGACCCCCCCATTCCCACATCCCAGTGCTTCCCAGGCAGGATCCCGCAGAGGCTGTGCCCTTGCAGGGGGGATGCTGCTGTCGCCCCCTTCCAGGACGTCCCCAGCACCTTCAGGGGACTTTAGAACCCCCAAAAGAGGGTGAAGTGAAGGGGTAAGGCTGCTCTACCCAACCCCAGCCAAAGGGAGGGGAGCTGGGCTCCTGCCGAGGAAGGGGAAAGCCTGTTCCCATGGGATTGCTGCCACCCCAGCAAGGGCAGGGGACACACAGGGACTTCATACCCAATGGAGATCAACATGGCAATGATTTCCTGAGGTGGAGCAGCTTCTCTTCCCAGGGATGGGCCAAAGCCATCCTCAGCATCCTTATCTGCCACCAGCCCCACGGGAAGGGAAACAGCCTTGACTCTATCAGCACCACCAGACACACCATGTCCCCTCAGCCAGTGCCAGCCTAAGGTCCCATTCTGTCCCCATATGCCACAAAACACCAAATGCAGCATGTCCTGCTTGAGCTAGAGTGATCACAGCAGCAATCCCAGCCACACAACCAGTTACTCCTGTGGTACAGAGTCCCCTTCCACAGGGGGAAGCTGACAACAAGATGCTGAAGGGGGTTTGGGGTGAAGGCCCTGATCCCCCTTCCCAGCATTGTGTGGGTCCATGGGAATGAGGAAGGACACCCCAGTGCTCCTCTCAGAGGGTGCAGGAGCAGGAGGTGAAGCCCTGGGCTGAGCTGCAGAGACTTGAGCTAAAAGGCAAGAAAGGCTCTGAGCTTTGAGGAGATCCGGGTCAGGGTGGGAAACACATCTTGGATTCCCACCTCCCAAACCATTCCACCTCCCAGGCCATCCCAGCAGCACCAGCAGCGCACCAGGGGCTCACACCCATCCTCAAACCTCACCCGCCACCACTGGACTGAGCCACAGGAGACCCCCCCAGGAGCCACCCAGCATGGGTGACAGCCCATGGTCCCACCAAGGAGGTGGTGGCAGGTACATGGGGCAGGGGAAGGGGGCCCAGACCCTGCCAGGAGGTCACTGAGCCTTTGCTTTCCCCCTGCAGCAGCTCCCCCTCACCCTGCTGACCCCCCCGGCTCATCCATCCACCCCGAAGCAGCGGCGGCAGCACCCACCTCTCGCTGCCCCATGATGGACATCCCCAAGTGCCCTCTGAATCTGCCTCCCTGGGGCCAGGCCACACCAGATGTGGGCCAGGAGCTCCTGGCTCAGCCTTGGTGCTGGTCAGGAGCCTGGTGTGAGATACTCACTCGGCAGGGAAGGGGGGCACCCCCTCCGCTTCCCTTTCACCACCACCTCCAGGAGACAAAGGTCTGCAAAGCCGCTGGAGCCGCCTCTGCTCCCCCCCAGCCCCGAAACCCAAAACCACCCATTTCTGTCTTTCCCTTTCTGCTCCTTGGGAGGTTTCCAGCCATCAAACCCTTCCTGGGAGCCCTTCAAAGGCAGAGCAGCCGCCCCATCCACTTGCTAAACCAGTCTGAGCAGTGCCGGGAGCAGGCAGGAGGCCCCCGGCACCCCCCGCCTGGCACAAGGGGAGTGGGGACAGGGACAAGAAACCATGCGGAGGGACCTCGGGTGATCCTGGAGCAAAGAGAGGGATGAGGCTGAGCTGAAATGGCCTCCCGGGCTCAGCAGTGTGGGGTGATGGGATCAGCCCATGGGAGGGGTTAGCACCCCACTGCCCTTCCAGCAGGAGCTCAGCATCTTCTTCAACAGCGGGGTGATGCCCATGCTGGAAAGAGGGCTCACATCCCTCTGCCACATGTGTGACACAGGACCCTGTGTAACCCCAACATGCATGACCCCACAACTCCCAAGACCTGGGGGCTTCACCCCTGCCTCCTCCCCATACGGCTGTGTCCTACTGAGGACACTGAGGTCCAGCACCCCAAAGATCTCCTAGAAGCAATAGAAAAGATGAAGGGGATGAAATCAGAGCCAGACAGAGCATGGGGGATGCGAGACATGAAGGGGTGCAGTGTGGGGAGCAGTGGTCCAGGGGCTTCCCAACTCACCCAGCAGTGATGCAAGGCCAAGGGCCAGCAGGAGGGATGTTTGCTCGCCTCAGGAGTACCACTCAGTAAGAACAGCTCGTTTTGCAGTGGTGCAAGTTCAGGGCAGGGCTGGCTTAGAGGGGTACAAGAGCATCACCCCATATACTGCAGGATGTCCCCAGGCCATGATGGGTGGGGAAGCAGCTCTGCATGAATTGGGGGTGGCAGAGACACCCCCATCTCCCCCATAACCAGGGTGAACATTCACTGCCAAAGGGGAGACTGAGATGAAATGCTGGGCAGAAGCTGTGGCTGCCCCATCCCTGGCAGTGCTCAAGGCCAGGTTGGACACAGGGGCTTGGAGCAAGCTGCTCCAGTGGAAGGTGTCCCGGCCTGTGGCAAGGGGTTGGAGCTGGGTGAGCTTTAAGGTCCCTTCCAACCCAAACCAGGCTGTGGCTCTAAGCCAGTTGCCAACTCAGGGTAAGACAAAGCCGTGGCTGGGAGGGGTGACATGGGGACACATGGGTGCTGTATGCCACCCACAGGTGTTCCATCATCAGTGCAGCAAGTTCTCCCCCACCAGGTCTCAGCACTCATCACCAGCAGCATCCCCACATGGGAACACCGGACCTCCCTTGTTCCCTTTGTTAACATGGGACAGAAAAAAAGCACAGGATGCTGCAGAGCCAAAGCCGAGCACTTCCAAGACACCTTTGCAGAAGAGTGTCACTCACAGGAAGGTGTTTCCCTGTGGAAACAGCGCCCTGGTACCTGCGAGCAAGGATTCCTGGATCTCTGCTCCAGCCTCATCATGGGGCTCCCCTACAACACAGGCACAAACAGACCCAGGACTGAGCTGCCAAGGCCAAAACCTCACCCAACAAACACCATTACCATGGGTTCATTTGGGTGTTTTCTTTTTGCCTCTTCTTGTTGCTGTTGCACTTTGTTCTTCCAATGGCAAACTGAAGCAGCCATCAGGAAAGCAGCTACTCTGCTCAAGCCACTTCCACAGCAGCTCTGGAGCAACATGTCTCCCTGGAAAACCATCATCTCCTCCCAGATACTTGGGGAATATTCAGCCGAGCAACTTTAAGTCTTTTGTGTTAAAAAATGCAACTTTTGACTTTTAAAATGCTATTTTTGCCTTCTAAAACACCATTTTAACAAGCCGGTGGATCACGGGAGGAGGCACAGCAGGATTCCAGGGGGTGTTTAGCACCTCCCCCTTGTCCAGGTGTGGTGTGGGACCACCAACCCCTTTACCATCACCTCAAAGGGCATTGTCATCCCCTTCCCCAGCTCAGGAGGTGGGTTGGGGTCTCACATCAAGGGAGCCCCCTGCATCTCACAGGTCACTGCTGAAGCCAAACACAGGACATGGCCGGTGAATATCCCACTGGAGATGTCCAAAAGGAAGGAAAACCCATGATTTTTCCACAGCTCTGAAATCTCTTCAGTTTCTGGGAAAACCAGCCCAAGAAACCATCATTTTGCTGAGCTCAGCCCCCCTCCTCCTGGCACGAAGAGGCAGGAGAGCTCCACTGCCCCCACCATGCCCTGGTCCCTCTCCCTGCCCCATGGCTGCAGCAAAGCAAGACACAACCAGAGTAACTCAGCTACTTTCCATGTTATTCCTGTGTAGAAAAGACCTCAAAGAGTTTTGTATAAATATCACAGCTCAAGAGTTTAAAATCCCTTGTTTGGGTTTAACAACCAAACAGAAAACAGAAACACACACACATGCCTACCCTGGGGCTTGGAGAGCGGGGTGAGGGTGGAGCCCCTGGCTGTGGGGTCCTATGGGGCCACCAGCAGTGCTGACCCTGAATCCCAAGGGTTTTCCCAGCCTCCCTTGCCTTCCTGTGAGGATTTGGGGCTGAAGATGAAGGAAGGATGTAAGGTGCAGCCCCAGGAGCAGCTCTGGTGAGCATGGCTTTGAGGGGGCACGTGGTGGGACAGGGATGCAGAGACTGTAGAATCATTTAGGTTGGAAAACATCTTCAAGATCACTGAGTCCAACATGAACCCAGCAGTACCGAGGCCACCACTGAACCATGTCACTAAGTGCCACAACTACACATCTGTTAAACACCTCCAGGGATGGTGACTCCACCACACCTCTGGGCAGCCTGTTCCAGCA